TAGCACTACTCACTAGTACTATCACTACTAACTAGTACTATCACTACTAACTAGCACTACTAGCACTATCACTACTAACTAGTACTACTAGCACCATCACTACTAACTAGTACTATCACTACTAACTAGTACTATCACTACTAACTAGCACTATCACTACTAACTAGCACTAGCACTACTAACTAGCACTATCACTACTAACTAGCACTACTAGCACTATCACTACTAACTAGCACTATCACTACTAACTAGCACTATCACTACTAACTAGTACTACTAGCACTATCACTACTAACTAGTACTACTAGCACTATCACTACTAACTAGTACTATCACTACTAACTAGCACTATCACTACTAACTAGCACTATCACTACTAACTAGTACTACTAGCACCATCACTACTAACTAGTACTATCACTACTCACTAGTATTATCACTACTAACTAGCACTATCACTCACTGATTTATTGTAGTTAATACTAGTTAGTGCTAGTACTAACTAGTACTAACACTAACTAGCACTAACTAGTACTAACACTACTAGCACTATTATCTAGCAGTGGTAACATTTAACTCGTATAACTAAAATTAAAATAAACCAGCACTAACTTATTAGAAAGGGGAAAAAAATTACGAAGTTTAAAAAAAAAATATTATAAAGTTTAACCCAAAGGCAGGAAAAAAACATTCAAAACCACAATTGTATTTTTAGTAAGTTAAAAAACCAAGATGAATAACCCAAAAACTAGAATTAACCTAAACTAGATTTTGATTTAAAGCTTCCGTGACTGCAGGGAGTCACCAGCACGTAGAAGGGAAACAATAAAATAATAAAAATATAAAACAATAAAATTATTATTCTTGGTTCTTTGGGTAAAGTCACCACCACCACGTAGAAGGGAAACAATAAAATAATGAAAATATAAAACAATAAAATTATTATTCTTGGTTCTTTGGGTAAAGTCACCACCACGTAGAAGGGAAACAATAAAATCATAAAAATATAAAACAATTAAATAGATTTTTTTATTATTTTATATTTTTATTATTTTATTGTTTATATTTTTATTATTTTATTGTTTCCCTTCTACGTGGTGGTGGTGACTTTACCCAAAGAACCAAGAATAATAATTTTATTGTTTTATATTTTTATTGTTTCCCTTCTACGTGGTGGTGGTGACTTTACCCCAAAGAACCAAGAATAATAATTTTATTGTTTTGTATTTTTATTATTTTATTGTTTCCCTTCTACGTGGTGGTGGTGACTTTACCCAAAGAACCAAGAATAATAATTTTATTGTTTTATATTTTTATTATTTTATTGTTTCCCTTCTACGTGGCGGTGACTTTACCCAAAGAACCAAGAATAATAATTTTATTGGTTTATATTTTTATTATTTTATTGTTTCCCTTCTAACGTGGTGGTGACTTTACCCAAAGAACCAAGAATAATAATAATTTTATTGTTTTATATTTTTATTATTTTATTGTTTCACTTCTAACATGGTGGTGACTTTACCCAAAGAACCAAGAATAATAATTTTATTGTTTTATATTTTTATTATTTTATTGTTTCCCTTCTACGTGGTGGTGACTTTACCCAAAGAACCAAGAATAATAATTTTATTGTTTTATATTTTTATTATTTTATTGGTTTATATTTTTATTATTTTATTGTTTCCCTTCTAACGTGGTGGTGGTGGTGGTGACTTTACCCAAAGAACCAAGAATGACTCCCCACAGTCTCCAAAGCTTGAAATCGCAACTTGAACGTTATTAAACTTACGAAAATTAACGCTCAAAAAAATAATCTATATAACCTAAACTAGCCCACAACTCAAGTAATAACAACGTCACTCATGAGGCTTGAAAAATAACGAAGTTTAAAAAAAAAATTTTAACTAAAGTTTAAACCTCCCCCAACCCCCGAGGGAGAGAAACTATTAACCTGCAATTTTATTCTTAGTAAGTTTAAAAAAAAATAATTTCCACAAGCAAAACAAAAAGTAACAACGTGAACAGCATGAACTAACGCATCTACAAAAATACCAAAAAAGATTTAAGCAAAAACTAAAATAATTAAAACGGCAAAAACTAAAAATGACAAAAAAATTATAACGAACTCAACCAAAGCACGAAAGATCAATCATCAAACCGGCGGAGCGCACTAGCCAAAAAGCGAGCGTCACTAGACTAAACAAAATAATCGATAAAACAAAATAATCGATAAAAAATAATCGATAAAACAAAATAATCGATAAAACATAATCGATAAACCAAAATAATCGATAAAAAAATAATCGATAAAACAAAATAATCGAAACCCGGCAAAGGCAAAATAATCGATAAGCTGAATAAAAAAAAACTATAGAAATGAGCGGAACCAAAATACTTGACACCAGCGCAGCCAAAATAATCGATAATCGATAAACAAAAAATAATAATCAACACACTAGCAGAACCAACAACAACCGATAACAAAAAAATAATCGAACAAAAAAACTAGCACGGGCAAAATAATCGATAACCAAAATAATCGATAACCAAAATAATCGAAACCAAAATAATGGCTAACGCAAAAAAATAACAGAAACCATACCCAAAAAGAAATCGATAACCAAAAAAAAATCGATAACAAAAATAATCGATAACAAAAATAATCGATGACAAAAATAATCGATAACCAAAATAATCGATAACCAAAATAATCGATAATCAAAATAATCAAAACTCCGCCTCACCAGAAAATAATCGAAAACGCTAACGACGAGCGGGTGGGTGAACAGGCGGTGATTAAACTTGGTTGGTCACGTGACTGTTGCAGTGGTGGTGATAGTGGTGATGGTGGTGGTGATGGTGGTGGTGATGGTGGTGATGGTGGTGGTGATGGTGGTGATGGTGGTGGTGATGGTGGTGATGGTGGTGATGGTGGTGATGATGGTGGTGATGGTGGTGGTGATGGTAGTGATGGTGGTGATGGTGGTGGTGATGGTGGTGGTGATGGTGGTGGTGATGGTGGTGATGATGGTGGTGATGGTGGTGGTGATGGTGGTGATGGTGGTGATGGTGGTGATGGTGGTGGTGATGGTAGTGATGGTGGTGGTGATGGTGGTGATGGTGGTGATGATGGTGGTGATGGTGGTGGTGATGGTGGTTAGTGATGATGATGCTGGTGGTGATGGTCGTGGTGGTTATGGTAGTGGTGATGATAGTGATGATTGTGACTCAGCTAAGATTAAATTAACAACTCTGAACTGAAAAATCCCAAAAAAATAAATATATGAAACGAGCTGGGAGGATGATAACGAAAACCTGTGGAGAGAGACACGGGGGGAGAGAGACACGGGGGGAGAGACACGGGGAGAGAGAGACACGGGGAGAGAGAGACACGGGGAGAGAGACACACGGGGAGAGAGACACACGGGGAGAGAGACACGGGGAGAGAGACACGGGGAGAGAGAGACACGGGGAGAGAGACACTGGGAGAGAGACACGGGGAGAGAGACACGGGGAGAGAGACACGGGGAGAGAGAGAGACACGGGGAGAGAGAGAGACACGGGGAGAGAGAGACACGGGGAGAGAGAGACACGGGGAGAGAGAGACACGGGGAGAGAGAGACACGGGGAGAGAGAGAGACACGGGGAGAGAGAGAGACACGGGGAGAGAGAGAGATACGGGGAGGGAGAGAGACACGGGGAGGGAGAGAGACACGGGGAGAGAGAGACACGGGGAGAGAGACACGGGGAGAGAGAGACACGGGGAGAGAGAGACACGGGGAGAGAGAGACACGGGGAGAGAGACACGGGGAGAGAGAGACACGGGGAGAGAGAGACACGGGGAGAGAGACACGGGGAGAGAGACACGGGGAGAGACACGGGGAGAGAGAGAGACACGGGGAGAGAGAGACACGGGGAGAGAGAGACACGGGGAGAGAGAGACACGGGGAGAGAGAGACACGGGGAGAGAGAGACACGGGGAGAGAGAGACACGGGGAGAGAGAGACACGGGGAGGGAGAGACACGGGGAGAGAGAGACACGGGGAGGGAGACACGGGGATGGAGAGACACGGGGAGGGAGAGACACGGGGAGAGAGAGACACGGGGAGAGAGAGAGACACGGGAGAGAGACACGGGGAGAGACACGGGGAGAGAGAGAGACACGGGGAGAGAGACACGGGGAGAGAGACACGGGGAGAGAGAGACACGGGGAGGGAGACACGGGGATGGAGAGACACGGGGAGGGAGAGACACGGGGAGAGAGAGACACGGGGAGAGAGAGAGACACGGGAGAGAGACACGGGGAGAGACACGGGGAGAGAGAGAGACACGGGGAGAGAGACACGGGGAGAGAGACACGGGGAGGTGGAATTAGAGGTCACAGAGGGGAGGGGTCAGAGGTCACCGAGGGGAGGCGTCAGAGGTCACAAAGGTATCAAGGGTCAGAGGGGAGGAAGGAGTCAGAGGTCACAGAGGGTTGCCAGCCTTCACTACTTGTAGAGTGGGGGGGGGGTGGGACTGGGCTTGGGGAGTTATGGGGGTTGCCAGCCTTCCTCCTCCTCCTCCTCCACCTCCTCCTCCTCATCCTCCACCTCCTCCTCCTCATCCTCCACCTCCTCCACCTCCTCCTCCTCCTCCTTATCCTCCACCTCCTCCACCTCCTCCACCTCCTCCTCCTCATCCTCCACCTCCTCCTCCTCATCCTCCACCTCCTCCTCCACCTCCTCCTCCTCCTCCTCCTCCTCATCCTCCTCCTCCTCCTCCTCCTCCTCCTCCTCCTCCTCACCCTCCTCCTCCACCTCCTCCTCCTCCTCCTCCACCTCCTCCTCCTCCTCCTCCTCCTCATCCTCCTCCTCCTCCTCCTCCTCCTCCTCCTCCTCCTCACCCTCCTCCTCCACCTCCTCCTCCTCCTCGTCCACCTCCTCCTCCTCCTCCTCCTCCTCCTCCACTTCCTCCACCACCTCCTCCTCCTCGCTCTCCTCCTCCTCCACCACCTCCACCACCTCCTCCTCCTCCTCCTCGTCCTCCTCGTCCTCCTCCTCCACCTCCTCAGGGTTTGTGAGCCTTGCCCGTCTTGAAGGAGACTTGTAGGACACGCTCGCCCAGCTGCGTACCGTTCAGCGACTCGATGGCCATCAGCGCCTCGTCATAGTTGCCCATCGTGACAAAGCCAAAGCCCTTGCACTTGTTACTTGCAAAGTCACGGATCACCTGCACAGGCGTGGCGGACGGGGGGACAGCGACAGAGAGACACAGAGACAAAGAGAGAGACGCAGAGAGAGACGCAGAGACACAGAGAGACACAGCGAGAGAGACACAGAGACACAGTGACAGAGACACACAGTGAGAGAGACACAGTGAGAGAGACACAGAGACAGAGACACAGTGAGAGAGACACAGTGAGAGAGACACAGAGACAGAGAGACACAGAGACAGAGACACAGCGAGAGAGACACAGAGACAGAGAGACATAGAGACAGAGACACAGCGAGAGAGACACAGTGAGAGAGACACAGAGACAGAGACACAGCGAGAGAGACACAGTGAGAGACAGCGAGAGAGACGCAGAGAGAGAGACACAGAGACAGAGACACAGCGAGAGAGACACAGTGAGAGAGACACAGAGACAGAGACACAGCGAGAGAGAGACAGAGAGAGAGACACAGTGAGAGAGACACAGTGAGAGAGACACAGCGAGAGAGACACAGAGACAGAGACACAGCGAGAGAGACACAGTGAGAGACAGCGAGAGAGACGCAGAGAGAGAGACACAGAGACAGAGACACAGCGAGAGAGACACAGTGAGAGAGACACAGAGACAGAGACACAGCGAGAGAGAGACAGAGAGAGAGACACAGTGAGAGAGACACAGTGAGAGAGACACAGCGAGAGAGACACAGAGACAGAGACACAGCGAGAGAGACACAGTGAGAGACAGCGAGAGAGACGCAGAGAGAGAGACACAGAGACAGAGACACAGCGAGAGAGACACAGTGAGAGAGACAGAGACAGAGACACAGCGAGAGAGAGACAGAGAGAGAGACACAGTGAGAGAGACACAGTGAGAGAGACACAGCGAGAGAGACACAGAGACACACAGAGACAGACACAGCGAGAGAGTGAGAGAGACACAGCGAGACACAGTGAGAGAGACACAGAGACAGAGACACAGCGAGAGAGACGCAGAGAGAGAGACACAGAGACAGAGACACAGCGAGAGAGACACAGAGAGAGAGGCGCAGAGAGAGAGGCAGAGAGAGAGGCAGAGACAGAGACACAGAGAGAGAGACACAGAGAGAGAGAGACACGGGGAGAGAGAGAGACAGAGACACAGAGAGAGAGACACAGAGAGAGAGAGAGAGACACGGGGAGAGAGAGAGACAGAGACACAGAGAGAGAGACAGAGAGAGAGACAGAGAGAGAGACAGAGAGACACACGGAGACAGAGACACAGAGACAGAGACACACAGAGACAGAGACACAGCGAGAGAGACACAGTGAGAGAGACACAGAGAGAGACACGGAGAGAGAGAGACACAAGAGAGAGAGACACAGAGAGAGAGTGAGCGAGACACAGAGACACACAGAGACAGAGACACAGCGAGAGAGACACAGAGACAGAGAGACACAGAGACAGAGACACAGCGAGAGAGACAGAGAGACACACAGAGACACAGCGAGAGACACAGAGAGAGAGACACAGAGACAGAGAGAGAGACAGAGACACAGAGAGACACAGTGAGAGAGACACAGCGAGAGAGACACAGAGACACAGTGAGAGAGACACAGAGACACAGCGAGAGAGACACAGCGAGAGAGACACAGAGAGAGAGAGACGCAGAGACGCAGAGACACACAGAGACAGAGACACAGCGACAGAGAGACAGAGAGCGAGACACAGCGAGAGAGACACAGCGAGAGAGACACAGAGAGAGAGTGAGCGAGACACAGAGACACACAGAGACAGAGAGACACAGAGACAGAGACACAGCGAGAGAGACACAGCGAGAGAGACACAGCGAGAGAGACACAGTGAGAGAGAGACAGAGACACAGAGACAGAGACACAGAGACACACAGTGACAGAAAGACAGAGAGAGAGACAGAGAGAGAGAGACACAGACACACAGAGACACAGAGACAGAGACACAGAGACACACAGTGACAGAGAGACAGAGAGAGAGACAGAGAGAGAGAGACACAGACACACAGAGACACAGAGACACACAGAGACAGAGAGACAGAGACACAGAGAGACACACAGAGACAGAGACACAGAGAGAGAGACAGAGAGAGAGACAGAGAGAGAGACAGAGAGACACACGGAGACAGAGACACAGAGAGAGAGAGACACAGAGACACAGAGAGACACAGTGAGAGAGACACAGTGAGAGAGACACAGCAAGAGAGACAGAGAGACACACAGAGACAGAGACACAGCGAGAGAGACAGAGAGACAGAGAGACACACAGAGACAGAGAGACACAGAGACACAGACACACAGAGACAGAGACACAGCGAGAGAGACACAGAGATACAGCGAGAGAGACACAGCGAGAGAGTGAGAGAGTGAGCGAGACACAGCGAGAGAGACACAGTGAGAGAGACACAGAGACAGAAACACAGCGAGAGAGTGAGCGAGACACAGAGACACACAGAGACAGAGACACAGAGAGAGAGACACAGAGACACAGCGAGAGAGACACAGAGAGAGAGTGAGCGAGACACAGAGACACACAAAGACAGAGACACAGAGAGACACAGAGACAGAGAGACACACAGAGACAGAGACACAGAGACAGAAACACAGCGAGAGAGACACAGAAACACACAGAGACAGAGACACAGCGAGAGAGTGAGCGAGACACAGAGACACACAGAGACAGAGACACAGAGAGAGAGACACAGAGACACACAGAGACAGAGACACAGCGAGAGAGACACAGAGAGAGAGTGAGCGAGACACAGAGACACACAAAGACAGAGACACAGAGAGACACAGAGACAGAGAGACACACAGAGAAAGAGACACAGTGAGAGAGACACAGTGACACAGTGAGAGAGACACAGTGAGAGAGACACAGAGACAGAGACACAGCGAGAGAGACACAGCGAGAGAGACACAGCGAGAGAGACACAGAGACACAGCGAGAGAGACACAGAGAGAGAGACACAGCGAGAGAGACACAGAGACAGAAACACAGCGAGAGAGACAGAGACAGAGACACAGCGAGAGAGACACAGAGACACAGTGAGAGAGTGAGAGAGACACAGCGAGAGAGACACAGAGACACAGCGAAAGAGACACAGAGACACAGTGAGAGAGACACAGAGACAGAGACACAGCGAGAGAGACACAGTGAGAGAGACACAGAGACACAGCGAGAGAGACACAGTGAGAGAGACACAGAGACACAGCGAGAGAGACACAGTGAGAGAGACACAGTGAGAGAGACACAGTGAGAGAGACACAGAGACACAGCGAGAGAGACAGTGAGAGAGACACAGAGACACAGCGAGAGAGACAGAGACAGAGAGAGACAGACATAGAGACAGAGAGACAGAGAGAGACACAGAGACACAGACACAGTGAGAGAGACACAGAGACAGAGAAATGGGTCTCTGCGTGTCTCCGTGAGTGTCTCTGTGAGTGTCTCTGTGAGTCCCTGTGAGTCTCTGTGTCTCTCTGTGTCTCTCTGTGTCTCTCTGTGTCTCTCTGAGTCTCTGTGTCTCTCTGTGTCTCTGCGTGTCTCTCTGTGTGTCTGTGTCTCTCTCTGTGTCTCTCTGTGTGTCTCTCTCTGTGTCTCTCTCTGTGTCTCTCTCTGTGTCTCTCTCTGTCTCTCTGTGTGTCTCTGCGTCTCTGTGTCTCTCTGTCTCTCTCTGTGTGTCTGTGTGTCTCTGTGTGTCTCTGTGTCTCTCTGTGAGTCTGTGTCTCTCTCTGTGTGTCTCTGTGTCTCTCTGTGAGTCTCTGTGTCTCTCTGTGAGTCTCTGTGTCTCTCTGTGTCTCTGTGTATCTCTGTGTCTCTGTGAGTCTGTCTCTCTCTGTGAGTCTCTGTGTCTCTCTCTGTGTCTGTGTCTCTCTGTGAGTCTCTGTGGGTCTCTGTGGGTCTCTGAGTGTCTCTGTGAGTCTCTGTGTCTCTGTGTCTCTGTGTCTCTCTGTGAGTCTCCGTGAGTCTCTGTGAGTCTCTGTGTCCCTCTGTGTGTCTCTGTCTCTCTGTGTCTCTCTGTGTTTCTGTGTCTCTGTGTGTCTCTGTGAGTCTCTGTGTGAGTCTCTGTGTGTCTCTGTGTCTGTGTGTCTCTGTGAGTCTCTGTGTGTGTCTCTGTGTGTGTCTCTGTGTCTTTAACTGTGTCTCTCTGTGTGTCTCTGTGTGTCTCTGTGAGTCTCTGTGTGTCTCTGTGTGTCTCTGTGTGTTTCTGTGTCTGTGTGTCTCTGTGAGTCTCTGTGTGTGTCTCTGTGTCTTTAACTGTGTCTCTCTGTGTGTCTCTGTGTCTCTGTGAGTCTCTGTGTGTCTCTGTGTGTCTCTGTCTCTCTCTGTGTGTCTCTGCGAGTCTCCGAGTGTCTCTGTGAGTCTCTGTGTCTCTCTGTGAGTCTCTGTGTGTGTCTCTGTGTGTCTCTGTCTCTCTCTGTGTCTCTGCGAGTCTCCGAGTGTCTCTGTGAGTCTCTGTGTGTCTCTGAGTATCCCATCTACCTCACCAGCCCCGCTCACCTTGACGCTTGACACCGCAACGGACCAAACATCTTCCACAGCACTCTCTCACAACTACTCACCACCACACTCACCACCAGTACACTCACCACTCTCTCACAACTACTCACCACCACACTCACCACCAGTACACTCACCACTCTCTCACAACTACTCACCACCACACTCACCACCAGTACACTCACCACTCTCTCACAACTACTCACCACCACCACACTCACCACCAGTACACTCACCACTCTCTCACAACTACTCACCACCACACTCACCACCACACTCACCACCAGTACACTCACCACTCTCTCACAACTACTCACCACCACACTCACCACCAGTACACTCACCACTCTCTCACAACTACTCACCACCACCACACTCACCACCAGTACACTCACCACTCTCTCACAACTACTCACCACCACACTCACCACCACACTCACCACCAGTACACTCACCACTCTCTCACAACTACTCACCACCACACTCACCACCAGTACACTCACCACTCTCTCACAACTACTCACCACCACACTCACCACCAGTACACTCACCACTCTCTCACAACTACTCACCACCACCACACTCACCACCAGTACACTCACCACTCTCTCACAACTACTCACCACCACACTCACCACCACACTCACCACCAGTACACTCACCACTCTCTCACAACTACTCACCACCACACTCACCACCAGTACACTCACCACTCTCTCACAACTACTCACCACCACACTCACCACCAGTACACTCACCACTCTCTCACAACTACTCACCACCACACTCACCACCACACTCACCACCAGTACACTCACCACTCTCTCACAACTACTCACCACCACACTCACCACCACACTCACCACCAGTACACTCACCACCACCACACTCACCACCAGCACACTCACCACCACCACCACACTCACCACCACCACACTCACACCACACTCACCACCACACTCACCACCACCACACTCACCACCACACTCACCACCACACTCACCACCACCACACTCACCACCACCACACTCACCACCACACTCACCACCACTCACCACCACCCTCACCACCACCACCACACTCACAACCACCACCACCACACTCACCACCACTACACTCACCACCACCACTACACTCACCACCACCACCACACTCACCACCACCACACTCACCCTCACCACCACACTCACCACCACACTCACCACCACACTCACCACCACTCACCACCACCACTCACCACCACCACTCACCACCACACTCACCACCACTCACCACCACCACTCACCTTGACGCTGGACACTGCACCGAAGGGCCCAAACATCTGCCACAGCACCCTCTCATCACCACCACACTCACCACCACTCACCACCACACTCACCACCACACTCACCACCACACTCACCACCACTCACCACCCACCTTGACGCTGGACACTGCACCGAAGGGCCCAAACATCTGCCACAGCACCCTCTCATCACCACTCACCACCACACTCACCACCACACTCACCACCACACTCACCACCACACTCACCACCACCACTCACCACCACCACGCTCACCTTGACGCTGGACACTGCACCGAAGGGCCCAAACATCTGCCACAGCACCCTCTCATCACCACCACACTCACCACCACTCACCACCACACTCACCACCACACTCACCACCACACTCACCACCACACTCACCACCACTCACCACCACCACTCACCTTGACGCTGGACACTGCACCGAAGGGCCCAAACATCTGCCACAGCACCCTCTCATCACCACCACACTCACCACCACTCACCACCACACTCACCACCACACTCACCACCACACTCACCACCACTCACCACCACACTCACCACCACACTCACCACCACACTCACCACCACCAAACCACACTCACCACCACTCACCACCACACTCACCACCACTCACCACCACTCACCACCACTCACCACCACCACTCACCACTCACCTTGACGCTGGACACTGCACCGAAGGGCCCAAACATCTGCCACAGCACCCTCTCGTCGGCCTCCGGTCCGAGGTTGTAAACAAAGAGGCAGAATCCTCCACCGCCTCCCCCTCCACCGCCTCCTCCACCGCCTCCTCCACCACCCCCTCCACCGCCTCCTCCGTGGTGGTGGTGAGGAGCGGAGGCCGAGTGGTGAGGAGCGGAGGCCGAGTGGTGAGGAGCGGAGGCCGAGTGGTGAGGAGCGGAGGCGCCCGCGTTTGGGTGGTGGTGGTGGTGGTGGTGAGCGTTGGACGAGTGGTGAGGACCGGTGATCCCTCCCCCTACTCCCACTCCTCCTCCCACTCCTCCTCCCACTCCTCCTCCTCCGAGGTGAGCGACCGAGTGGTGAGCGGCGGCTGAGGCGGTAGAGGCGGCTTGGGGGTGGTGGTGGTGGTGGTGAGGAGCGGGGTGGTGGTGGTGGTGAGGAGCGGGGTGGTGGTGGTGGTGGTGGTGGTGGGAGGAGCCGGGGCCGCCCATCGAGTCGCCGAGAGGCGAGTAGCTGTGGGGTGGGTGGTGAGAGAGAGACACGGGGGGAGAGTAGTGTATAGTGTAGTGTAGTAGTGTAGTGTGTGTAGTAGTAGTGTAGTGTATAGTGGTGTAGTAGTGTAGTAGTGTGTAGTGTAGTGTGTAGTAGTGTATAGTGTAGTAGTAGTGTAGTGTGTAGTAGTAGTGTAGTGTGTAGTAGTAGTGTATAGTGTAGTATAGTAGTGTAGTAGTGTATAGTGTAGTAGTGTATAGTGTATAGTATAGTGTAGTGTATAGTGTATAGTGTAGTGTATAGTGTAGTGTAGTGTGTAGTGTATAGTGTAGTGTATAGTGTAGTGTAGTGTATAGTGTAGTGTAGTAGTAGTGTAGTGTATAGTGTAGTGTAGTAGTAGTGTAGTGTAGTAGTGTATAGTGTAGTGTATAGTGTAGTAGTGTATAGTGTAGTAGTGTAGTATGTAGTAGTGTAGTGTAGTAGTGTATAGTGTAGTGTATAGTGTAGTGTAGTGTGTAGTGTATAGTGTAGTGTAGTAGTTTATAGTGTAGTGTAGTAGTGTATAGTGTAGTAGTGTATAGTGTAGTGTATAGTGTAGTAGTGTAGTGTATAGTGTAGTGTAGAGTACCGGAATCGTTGTGCCTGGTGGTACAGGGGCCCTCCATAGCGCCTGTGAGCCGCTTGGTTGATCTGTGTGAGCAGCGTTGGCGATGCCTTTTTATTCGGAGCGCTTGCCACCTGCAGCATCAGCGGTAACATCATCACCATCAGCAGCAGCATCATCAGTAACATCATCAGTAACATCATCATCAGTAACATCATCATCAGTAACATCATCATCATCAGTAACATCATCATCATCAGTAACATCATCATCATCAGTAACATCATCATCATCAGTAACATCATCATCATCAGTAACATCATCATCAGTAACATCATCATCAGTAACATCATCATCATCATCAGTGGGAACAACATCATCAGTAACATCATCAGTGGGAACAACATCATCATCAGTAACATCATCATCATCATCAGTAACAACATCATCATCATCAGTAACAACATCATCATCATCAGTGGTAACATCATCAGTACAGTGTGGTACTATAGAGTAGTAGTATAGAGTAGTAGTATATATATAGTAGTATATATTACTATATTACTAGTACTACTAGTACTAGTACTATAGTAGTACTACTATAGTACTGGTACTATAGTAGTACTACTATAGTACTACTACTATAGTACTAGAACTATAGTAGTACTACTATAGTACTGTAGTACTATAGTAGTACTACAGTAATAGTATTCACCTTGACGCTGATTGGCTCCGTCGCCCCGCTAGGCTTGTGTCCGTTCAACAGGCGAATGGCTGTAGTACTAGTACTATAGTAGTACTACTAGTACTATAGTAGTACTAGTACTATAGTAGTAGTATTCACCTTGACGCTGATTGGCTCCGTAGCTCCGCTAGGCTTGTGACCGTTCAACAGGTGAATGGCTGTAGTACTACAGTAGTAGTACTAGTACTATAGTAGTAGTATTCACCTTGACGCTGATTGGCTCCGTAGCTCCGCTAGGCTTGTGACCGTTCAACAGGCGAATGGCTGTAGTACTAGTACTATAGTAGTAGTACTACTATAGTACTAGTACTACTATAGTAGTAGTATTCACCTTGACGCTGATTGGCTCCGTAGCTCCGCTAGGCTTGTGACCGTTCAACAGGCGAATGGCTGTAGTACTAGTACTATAGTAGTAGTACTACTATAGTACTAGTACTACTATAGTAGTAGTATTCACCTTGACGCTGATTGGCTCCGTAGCTCCGCTAGGCTTGTGTCCGTTCAACAGGCGAATGGCTGTAGTACTAGTACTATAGTAGTAGTACTATAATACTACAGTAGTAGTATTCACCTTGACGCTGATTGGCTCCGTAGCTCCGCTAGGCTTGTGACCGTTCAACAGGCGAATGGCTGTAGTACTAGTACTATAGTAGTACTACTACTATAGTACTAGTACTACTATAGTAGTAGTATTCACCTTGACGCTGATTGGCTCCGTAGCTCCGCTAGGCTTGTGTCCGTTCAACAGGCGAATGGCTGTAGTACTAGTACTATACTAGTACTACTATAGTACTAGTACTACTATAGTAATAGTATTCACCTTGACGCTGATTGGCTCCGTCGCCCCGCTAGGCTTGTGACCGTTCAACAGGCGAATGGCTGTAGTACTAGTACTATAGTAGTACTACTATAGTACTAGTACTACAGTAGTAGTATTCACCTTGACGCTGATTGGCTCCGTAGCTCCGCTAGGCTTGTGTCCGTTCAACAGGCGAATGGCTGTAGTACTAGTACTATACTACTAGTACTACTATAGTACTAGTACTACAGTAGTAGTATTCACCTTGACGCTGATTGGCTCCGTAGCTCCGCTAGGCTTGTGTCCGTTCAACAGGCGAATGGCTGTAGTACTAGTACTATAGTAGTACTACTACTATAGTACTAGTACTACAGTAGTAGTATTCACCTTGACGCTGATTGGCTCCGTAGCTCCGCTAGGCTTGTGTCCGTTCAACAGGCGAATGGCTGTAGTACTAGTACTATACTACTAGTACTACTATAGTACTAGTACTACAGTAGTAGTATTCACCTTGACGCTGATTGGCTCCGTAGCTCCGCTAGGCTTGTGTCCGTTCAACAGGCGAATGGCTGTAGTACTAGTACTATAGTAGTACTACTATAGTACTAGTACTACAGTAGTAGTATTCACCTTGACGCTGATTGGCTCCGTAGCTCCGCTAGGCTTGTGACCGTTCAACAGGCGAATCGCTTCCTCTGCCTCAGTCTTCTTGTCAAAGCGAATAAACGCCACGCCTCTCGAGATGCCTACACACACAGATAGACACACACAGATAGACACACACATAGATAGACACATAGATAGACACACAGATAGACACACACAGATAGACACACACACAGATAGACACACAGATAGACACACACAGATAGACACACAGATAGACACACAGATAGACACACAGATAGACACACAGAGAGACACACAGACACACACAGATAGACACACACAGATAGACACACACAGATAGACACACACACACAGACACACACACAGATATAGACACACAGATAGACACACACAGATAGACACACAGATAGACACACAGATAGACACACAGATAGACACACACAGAGAGACACAGACACACACAGATAGACACACAGATAGACACACAGATAGACACACACAGATAGACACACAGATAGACACACAGATAGACACACAGATAGACACACACAGATAGACACACAGATAGACACACACACAGATAGACACACACAGATAGACACAGATATAGACACACACACAGACACACAGATAGACACACACAGATAGACACACACACAGATAGACACACACACAGATAGACACACACACATACACACACACAGATAGACACACACACAGATACACACACACACACATAGACACAGATATAGACACACACACACAGATAGACACACGTCTAGTCACCAGTCTAGTCACCAGTCTAGTCACCAGTATAGTCAGTCACCAGTCTAGTCACCAGTCTAGTCACCAGTCTAGTCACCAGTATAGTCACCAGTATAGTCACCAGTATAGTCAGTCACCAGTATAGTCAGTCACCAGTATAGTCACCAGTCTAGTCACCAGTCTAGTCACCAATCTAGTCACCAGTCTAGTCAGTCACCCTAGTCGCCACCCTAGTCACCAGTCTAGTCACCAGTCTAGTCACCAGTCTAGTCAGTCACCAGTCTAGTCACCAGTCTAGTCAGTCACCAGTCTAGTCAGTCACCAGTCTAGTCACCAGTCTAGTCAGTCACCAGTCTAGTCACCAGTCTAGTCACCAGTCTAGTCACCAGTCTAGTCACCAGTCTAGTCACCAGTCTAGTAAGTCACCTGTCTAGTCACCAGTCTAGTCACCAGTATACTCAGTCACTAGTCTAGTCAGTCACCAGTCTAGTCACCAGTCTAGTCACCAGTATAGTCACTAGTCTAGTCAGTCACCAGTCTAGTCAGTCACCAGTCTAGTCAGTCACCAGTCTAGTCAGTCACCAGTCTAGTCAGTCACCAGTCTAGTCAGTCACCAGTCTAGTCAGTCACCAGTCTAGTCAGTCACCAGTCTAGTCAGTCACCAGTCTAGTCAGTCACCAGTCTAGTCAGTCACCAGTCTAGTCAGTCACCAGTCCAGTCAGTCACCAGTCTAGTCAGTCACCAGTCTAGTCACCAGTCTAGTCACCAGTCTAGTCACCAGTCTAGTCAGTCACCAGTCTAGTCACCAGTCTAGTCACCAGTCTAGTCAGTCACCAGTCTAGTCACCAGTCTAGTCACCAGTCTAGTCACCAGTCTAGTCACCAGTCTAGTCAGTCACTAGTCTAGTCAGTCACCAGTCTAGTCACCAGTCTAGTCACCAGTATAGTCACCAGTCTAGTCAGTCACCAGTCTAGTCAGTCACCAGTCTAGTCAGTCACCAGTCTAGTCACCACTCTAGTCACCAGTATAGTCAGTCACCAGTCTAGTAAGTCACCAGTCTAGTCATCAGTCTAGTAAGTCACCAGTCTAGTCACCAGTCTAGTCACCAGTCTAGTCACCAGTCTAGTCACCAGTCTAGTCACTAGTCTAGTCACCAGTCTAGTCACTAGTCTCGTCAGTCACCAGTCTAGTCACTAGTCTCGTCAGTCACCAGTCTAGTCACCAGTCTAGACAGTCACCAGTCTAGTCACCAGTCTAGTCACCAGTCTAGTCACCAGTCTAGTCACCAGTCTAGTCACCAGTCCAGTTAGTCACCAGTCTAGTTAGTCACCAGTCTAGTTAGTCACCAGTCTAGTCACCAGTCTAGTCACCAGTCTAGTCACCAGTCTAGTCACCAGTATAGTCACCAGTATAGTCAGTCACCAGTATAGTCAGTCACCAGTCTAGTCACCAGTCTAGTCACCAATCTAGTCACCAGTCTAGTCAGTCACCCTAGTCACCACCCTAGTCGCCACCCTAGTCGCCAGTCTAGTCACCAGTCTAGTCACCAGTCTAGTCAGTCACCAGTCTAGTCAGTCACCAGTCTAGTCACCAGTCTAGTCACCAGTCTAGTCAGTCACCAGTCTAGTCACCAGTCTAGTCACCAGTCTAGTCACCAGTCTAGTAAGTCACCTGTCTAGTCACCAGTCTAGTCACCAGTCTAGTCAGTCACCAGTCTAGTCACCAGTCTAGTCACCAGTATAGTCACTAGTCTAGTCAGTCACCAGTCTAGTCAGTCACCAGTCCAGTCAGTCACCAGTCTAGTCACCAGTCTAGTCAGTCACCAGTCTAGTCACCAGTATAGTCTGTCACCAGTCTAGTCACCAGTCTAGTCACCAGTCTAGTCACCAGTCTAGTCACCAGTCTAGTCACCAGTCTAGTCAGTCACCAGTCTAGTCACCAGTCTAGTCACCAATATAGTCACCAGTCTAGTCAGTCACCAGTCTAGTCAGTCACCAGTCTAGTCAGTCACCAGTCTAGTCAGTCACCAGTCTAGTCAGTCACCAGTCTAGTCACCAGTCTAGTCACCACTCTAGTCACCAGTATAGTCAGTCACCAGTCTAGTAAGTCACCAGTCTAGTCACCAGTCTAGTCACCAGTCTAGTCACTCACCAGTCTAGTCACTAGTCTAGTCACCAGTCTAGTCACTCACCAGTCTAGTCACTAGTCTAGTCACTAGTCTAGTCACTAGTCTAGTCACCAGTCTAGTCACTAGTCTCGTCAGTCACCAGTCTAGTCACGAGTCTCGTCAGTCACCAGTCTAGTCACCAGTCTAGACAGTCACCAGTCTAGTCACCAGTCTAGTCAGTCACCAGTCTAGTCACCAGTCTAGTCACCAGTCTAGTCACCAGTCTCATCAGTCTCATCAGTCACCAGTCTAGTCACCAGTCTAGTCACCAGTCTAGTCACCAGTCCAGTCTAGTCACCAGTCTAGTTAGTCACCAGTCTAGTTAGTCACCAGTCTAGTTAGTCACCAGTCTAGTCACCAGTCTAGTCACCAGTCTAGT